CCCCGAGCGCCGCTGGCGAGGATCGGTTCTGCGGCTTCGCTCAGCTGGGGCCGCTCCGCCTGCTCTGCTGGAGCCTCAGGTGGAGGCTCCGGGCGGGTTGTGCTCCGGGCGGGTTGTGCTCTCGGTGGGATGTCAGCCTCTTTCTCTCGCGGGGTGGGCGCTGGCTGCACACGCCAAATCCCTGCAGCTCCCGCTGTCCGTTGCCGGTTCCCTCTTTGCAAAGTGCACGTGTGAGAAGATGCAGAGAGCTACAGCAATTCCTGGAAGTCAGTGTGGGGTTCAAAATCTGAATGACACCATTTCTAGTTTGCTCACTTTCATTTAGACTGGGCTCCTTTTAATTCATGAAGGCTCAGTTTGGTATTGCTGGCATTCCTTCTTTTTATTTCTGTGTTTATCAGTAGTGTATTAAAAAAAAAAGAGAAGGGGTGAACTTTGTAACTCGGGTGACAGCGCAGCACGGGTTGAGCCAAGGTAGGGATCTGGGAACATTCCCTGAGATGTGGCGTTTTAACTTGCAGCTTAGAACTGACGGGGAGAGACTTGGGCATATCTGTGTGCTTAGGAGGAAAAACATGCCGAATGAAACACAACCCTGGCTCCTTTGTTGGTGTGTTTTGTTGTATTTGGAGCATAGTAACACTCTCTGAATGGTAAGCTGCTTGGGCAGTAGTTCTCCTATCAAATCGTGCCTTTGACCTTTGACAAAGTTGCCTTTTCAAGGCTTCATTGTGTTTGTCTTGGTTCAGAGGAGTCTGGGGTTCTCTTCCGCCCCCTTGTATTAGCAGAAGAAAATGCTCTCTACCATCACTTGGGGTCTTTTGGAACGTAAATTGATATAGAAGGAGGTTTTGTCTGCCGTTTTCCAGGAATAGCTGTAACTCATTCTGTCCTTAAATGAACACGCAGACTGAGTTAGCAACTTCCATATGCAAATCAAAGCGCATTTAAATACTGCGTAAATGCTGCTGTTTGCTAATAGGGTGATACAAGTTCATTATATCTTCTGTGAAGTAAGGCTGGCTAGTGAATGAGAACATCTATAAAAGGATTCAATGTGCTTTAAATGTGCTTTACCTTGTATGGTTTATGTTCACAATCTCAGTTAAAACCCCTACCTAAAATCCTATCTGTATGCATGCGTGTGCAGTCACAGTCACAACTGCAGTGCTGCTTCGCTTGGAACAGGGAAAAGAACAAACGTGCTTCCCTCCAGCCCGGAGTAGCGCAGTCCTGCAGGGACTGTAGCTTACACTTTCATTAAGGAAGGCATGGACTGGCTAAGACTGATACAACTAGTGTCAAGGCTAATTTAATTCTCCCTTTTGAGCACTAAGTATGGATCCTACTTCATCCAGAAGATATGATACATTTTCCTGCTGTAGAACAGTACTATAATGTCACTGCACATTTTTAACAAGAATGTCTTTATTACTGATAAAATCTCTTTTAACTGCACATCCTGTCTGATTCAGGCCATACACATTCTGCTGTTCTGTAACCTCTGCACATAGCTCTTTATTTCTGTGCCCAGTTCAATTATTGGACAAGGTCATTATCTTGCTAAAATATTCCACGTCAGATTGCTAACATATAGATCCCTCTGGCTAGAGCAATCTGTATCTAGATATAAATTTATCTAAAAGAAACGGTCCTTTTCCAGGGCTTACCTCTTTTGTAGGAGAATCCTACCTAAAACTGATTCCTGCCAATGAGGTTAGAACACAAAAGTGTGATATGTGACTGATCTTTGGATCATGTAGCAGCTGTGTTAGCAGCACTGCACAGGCAGGCAAGTCTTGCATTCTGGCACTAACACCTTCTCTGTGCTGTCCTATGTGGGTAATGTAGCCTGAACTTCTGCTCCCTTCCTGTTACAAAAGCAACAGTTGTCCATTAAAGTGAAAGTTCAAGTTGGTTCTTGTCACTGTCAAGATACATTGCATGGTCTTTATCGGGAGAACTTGCAGAGGCTCTGGCAGCACTCGTTAAGTACTTAATGCCTATGGAGAAAATCTACGGCTCTGTCCCAGCTCACCAAGACCACGCTTCGCATCTCTGAACTGCTTACACTTCTGTTCAATTCTATGTGCCTTTGACTATGGGATCTGTAATGAGGTTTGAGTCACGTGCTCATGTGCAACCGACCTCTGATAAATCCTCTTACACGGTCTATTCTCAGAGGGCTTTTGGGCAGAAGAGGTTTTCCAAGCTGAGAATATGGCCACTTGTCAGCTCATTTTATTCTGAGTGCTTAGGTGAAGTACTTCAAGTTCTGTTTCTGGTTTGCGCTCTTGTCCTGGAGAATGTGCTATGACATGTAACACTTTAACGTTTTCTGGGTTGTGCTCAGTGAAGGAGAAGCTCAGCTGAATGACTAGAACCTTTACAATCTTAACAACAATTTCTGTCATCACTGAGATTGCTGTTTGTGCATCTTAAACATGGAAACCCCCATGCGGAATCCTCTTTTTTTAGCTGTTATTTTGCCACTTGTAGGAGCAGAATGTTGTAACTGAAACAAAATGCTGAAAGACTGGTCAGATTTTGCTAACGTAGTGTGGTGTGTTTAGTGTCACACCTGTATTTGGTTATATTTTCATGGTAGCTGCCCTGTTATTTTCTTAGGATTGTGCAGTTTGCGTTGAGGCACTTGTTTCTGCTGAGGTGGGTTCATATGGTGATTCTGTACTGCACTGCCTCGAGGAGGGAGACGCTTGTGCTTTGCTATGTATTTGCAGATAGATAGAAACTCTTTAAATGGTAGGGGGGGGGTGTGGGTGGCTTTTTTCCCTCCCTTTTTGTTCCTTTCTTTGTACTTCCTGTCTTGCTTCAGAAAGGAAAAACCTGTTATTAACATACATTTTTTGGATTCCCAGGATAAAGCCTGGATTTTGTGCTGCTAAGTCCTGCTTTGGCTTAGCTGCGAGGAGAGCCAACAGCAATCTGCTCCGGCAGTGGGCAGGCAGCACGCGGCAGTTCTGCTGCTCTCCGTGGCCGTACGGCATGCTGGTGGCAATTCTTCTTCTAGAGGGGAAGCTGCATCATCACAGAAGAGTTCTGTCAAAACAACCTACATGTATCAATCAGATAACTAAAGAGAGACTGCGGGGCACTTTGTTTCTCCACACACATCTAAATTATATTCTGCTCACAGACTTTTGCCAGTGTTTGCATAAGTGTGTTGATAAATTGAAGAACACTTTGTGTTTAATGTGAAACTTTTTGGTTTTTTTCCGGAAGTGGTTGGCTCTGAAGCTGTCAAACAGAATGGAAAAAAGGTTGCAGTTAGTCAGAACCGAAGCCACGACAGCACTGATAAAAGTGCTCCCAGGTATGGTATCTCTCTTGCTTCTTGTATAGGTTTGGTGAAGCAGTTGAAGGGAGAGTTGTGCAAGTCAGCTCTTTGTGGAAGGTCTAGTGAGGAGTAGAAGTGGTGGCAATGTTCCTTTGCCGGTTTAGCTATGCCTCCCCTCTGCAGAGGATCTCTGTGTAGTGACCGTAAATATAAATAGCACCAAAGTTCTGGGTACTTCTGGGTGATTGTGTATGGATGGAATGAACTGCGGTGGGCAAATTGTTGATGCTTTGATGTCCAGAGGAAGAAAAAGAAGGTGCAGAGAGCTTTCTGTCTGGGCTTCCTGGTTTTCTGCTGGAAATCGAGTGAGGAAGTTTGTCTCTCTGGTGCCAGTGTGTGAGGTCTGTGCACACACCAGTGCTCGAGCAATCTTGTGGCTGCATTATCTAGTTCCATCTGCCGGTGACCGTGTCGGTTGCAGTCCCCAGAGGTGGTGGGATCTAGAGCAGAAAAGTTCGCAACTTTTTGAGAAGAGAATCTGCAGATTCTAGTTAGGAGAGAAAAAAGTTCAGCATAAGCACGCTGTCAAAACTTTAGTGGGAATTTCAGCACAGTGTCTCAGAGGCAGTCCTGCTAGTCCCCTATTTGGGCATGTTTTTGCTGTTTAGTGGGACAGGACCTGCTAGTGTTGTTTATTTTGAATTCGGAGAACTTTGGCTTAGGTCCACCATGTCTCATAGATACACTCTTAAAATGTCACAGTTTCATTTTCCAGTTCCCAGGACTTTGTGGACCCTGCTGCATACCCTTCAAATTTGGTCTGCATGCTGTCCTTGGCACTGGCGTGCAGGTTGTTGACCTTAAATTTATACCATCCAGTTGCTTGTGGGAACTCCCAAGCTGTGGCATTATTACTGTTGCAAAAGGAGTTTGCAGAGCCACCAGATACTAAGTAAAACCACCTCTACCTCCACCCACTCTGCGCTGCCTCCTGTCTGGGCAGAGCTGGGAGTTTTCCACCAGATGGCTTTTTAAACAAACAGCTTTTCATTCTTCTACTGAGGTCAGAAGGGCTGAGCAGAGGCAGTGGGAGATGAGATTTGCATCTCCTTGCGCCAGTAAGCAGGAAAGGTGTACAGATTTTGTATCAACATCCAGGTGGGAGTAAGGCCTGCTCTGAATCAACAGGCTGCACCAGGTTAGTGAAAACCATTTGTTATTTCAGTTAGTTAAACTGGTTTTATCTAGAGATCTGAACTGTTCTAAGAAATGCTCATTTCAGTCTTGTTTGCTTATCCCAAGCATCGATTATCTGTCTTTAGTGAAACAGGCAGATAAATGCGATTCAAGTCCTTGGTGGCAGAAATAAGCCGTTTAGGGTGTGTGTATATCCTGGGTTTCATCATGCAGTTTTGCTTTCGTTTGCAGGCAAAACAAACTCAAACCTGAAGTGACAACTGAAATGGTACGGTCCTCCAGCATAATGGTTTCAGACAAGGCTTCAATCTTATCAGAACCAAAGTTTGGACTAAGAGATACTATTGTTAAATCTCAGCTTGTACAAATGGAGGATTCCTACACACACATCCAGAAGTTCAGGTAATGATCATTCATGAGAAGAACTTATTTTTGTGGGGAGTAAGTTAGTTAGCACAAGCTGTCAAAATAACTTGTGTTCACTCTTTCATCTAGTATCCCTGCAAATAGGAAATTTTGTAGAAAAGTATGATCCATACTTTCCAGAACAGTTTTCTTTCCTCATTTAGGCATTAGCAGAGAAGAATTTCATTCATGTCTCTGTCAAGGCTTGCCACACAGTTCTTGTTGAGAAAATGGCCTTTTTGAAATTACTTTTTCCTGTGCTTATTTCAGACTGTGTCTGGAAATGCATCGATTCTGTGCACCTCTGGCCTTCTCTCTCATTGCTTCTGTTCACTATTTATCCATGTAGTTGTTCCAATAAGCTCATAAGAGCTTGGGTGAAATATATAATTAGGACCAAAACTTTACTGTGGTTGAAATCCTATGCATGTCATTCTATGAATTTATCATTTCAAACTGCTACTGCACAGCTCTGGTAATTTTTTTTTTTTTTTTTTTTTCTAATATACTGTATGTAAAAATGCGTATCCTTCTGTAAAACATGTCTGTAAAGATGCTACTGTAATTAAATCATTTTAGGGATCTAAACTTTGTCACATTTTCCTAATTCCCCCCGGAAACATGTTACTCCTAAGTAGTTATGTGTAGTATTAAGTACATGGGTTAATAATAGTGGTATTTCCATCAGCTCTACAATTTGCAGCTCTGGGATTTAGTTAATTTCTTTGCAGATTTTTTGTTGGGACATATAATGTGAACGGTCAGTCACCCAGAGAAAGCCTCCAGCCTTGGCTGAGATGTGATGCTGAGCCTCCAGATATTTACTGCGTGGGGTGAGTGTCTCTTTCTGGCCCATCGTCCCAAACCTTGCCTGTGGGTTGCTTGCTTGTGACTCTGTAGCGTGGAGGTGTTCAGCCACGATGCCGCAGCTGAGGAATGTTTGCATTGCCTTACTGCATTGCACACCTTCAGAATGTGTGTTTGTACAGCCTGAAAGGTCTGTTACTCTGGTACTGTTCGGACTCTCTGGCACTGCAGTGTTACAAAATCTTTAATGCCATTCAGTTTAATACTAAAAGTAATTTAGCTTTATATTTAACATCAGCATAACTGAATTTGAGTTTTCAGTTTTAAATTTAGTGAGTATAAATTGATTTAGTTCTTTCCCAGAGGAAAGGGCTGGAGAGTTATAAACAAGTGCATGCATCCATGGGTTCCTTCCTCTAACGCAGTTTCCAGGAGCTTGATCTGAGTAAAGAAGCCTTCTTTTTCAATGACACACCGAAGGAAGAAGAATGGTTTAAAGCTGTAACTGATAGTCTTCACCCAGATGCCAAATATGCAAAGGTAAATGTGGCTTTTGGGGAGGTTTGAGTGTGGAATCATTTTCCACGTGGGCCTCTTTTCCCTTTGCTTTCTCTTGTTCTCAATCGCTGTGTCTTCCAGAGGCTCATTGTCTGCAGGCTTTTGCTCAGTCAGAAGTGCTCTGAAGGTGAAGGAGGTGGTGTTGCTGTGCAGGGTGCCGAGGCAGGGGGCAGGACAGGAGACCAGAGCTAGGCATCCTCGCATAAAGGAAGCTCCTGCTATGCTGGGGGAAGTGAATAAGAAGTATCTTAGTTTCTTCCATATCTGTCTCCACAAGGCATGGTGGAACCAGTTGTGAAGGTGTCTTGGTAGGAATACTGCTTATGTTTTGGCTCCTGCTCCTTACCTCTGCTTTCTCTCTTGTCACTGTTGCTGAAGGGAAGCTCTTTCCATGGGCTGTGCTTGTGCCGTAGATTTTGCTTTGGACTTGAACATCGTTTACTGGGGTCTTGGTCTCTGGCTCCTTCCTGTGCTGTGCTGCTGGAGTGCCTGGGTACCGTGAGCCCAGTTGGTCCGTCGGATGAGCCTGGAACTCTCTTTTTCTTCACCTGTATTTTGGTGGCCCATGTTCTGGACTGGGGGGCGATGTGCCTTCTCTCATCAAACCTCTCCCATTCTAGTATTTAATGGAACAGGATCTGTTTTTCAGGTGAAACTTGTGCGGCTCGTGGGAATCATGCTTCTGTTGTATGTGAAAGCAGACCTTGCTTTGAACATCTCCGAGGTGGAAATCGAGACTGTGGGAACTGGAATCATGGGGAGGATGGTAAGAATGGCAACTGTGCATGAGAAGGGGTGAGATTTAGAAGAGCTCTGGAGAGGCCCTCTCCTTAGATGTAGTGGTTATTCATCCAGCTAAGGGATGCAGCTGCCTTTAGAAGCATACAGTCCTGTCCCTGTCTAGTACAGCAGAGGCACAGAGGGAATTGCCATGTGCTCACAAAGCCTCAAAGACCTTGAGGGAGAATCTTCTCTGAAGGCTTTTTATTTTTCTGATTGCATGTGCTGGGCTGTGTGGGGCCTTGCTCTCATGTGATTTTGATGCTGGCTGTGATTTTGCCCAAAGCAAATAACACAAGGAAACATAAGTGGAAGAAACATGTCTATCCAGATTAGTTTTCCTGAGGAGGACTTCCTGGCCTCTTGCCATTCCACACCATTGGAATGAAGTCTGTGCCCTTTGAATGTAGTTTCTGTGAACATTGCAGCTATAACTTGTCAAAGGTATTTTTGATGAGCTAAGCCATGTGCTTCCTCCTCCATTTACAATTTTTTTTATGGTTTGTGTTGAAAGATCCAGTTTGTTGCTCAATAAGTTTCAGGACTTGCTGAAGTAACTGACCAACTCTCTAGTGATTTTAATTTCCTTTTGTATTAGCTGTATTATTCCTGAATTACAAACTGAGTTCCGTGTACTTGCTTGCTGTGTTCTGTTGCTGTGTGCAACCCCCACATGAGTTACTGACTTGAATTCATGAAGTAGTTATCACCAGTTGGCATTTTCAGCCTTTTCCTTCCTCTGGAATTAAGTGGTCTGCCTCAATGTCTTCTGGCTTGTCCACCACTAGTAACTCATTTGTGGATTCATCTGTTGTGTAGAAGCTTCTGACCAATGTCTTTGTCTTTATCTTTCAGGGTAACAAAGGTGGTGTTGCCATAAGGTTTAAATTCCATAACACTAGTGTGTGCGTTGTGAATTCTCACCTTGCAGCTCACACGGAGGAATATGAGCGGAGGAACCAGGACTTCAAAGACATCTGCTCTCGGATGCAATTCTGCCAGTTGGATCCAAATTTGCCCCCTCTCACTATTGGCAAACACGAGTATGCTTCCTGTCTGACTGTGAATCACTGCATGTGGCAAGGAAGAACATTCTGAATGTACTGGGGTGTGAGGTTCTCTCATCAGGGATGTGAGAAGGGGTGCCCAGTGATCTAATCGTCAGCCTGGAAGGGCCAGAAATGCTTTACCCTAACCCTGTTTTTGAGAGTGGTCACCTATACAGCTCTGACAAGTCACTTGCCTTCTTATGCTCTTCCAGGCCTTGTTCTATTTTCAAGCATGAAGTGGGAATGGGGCAATAATATGCATTGGTTTCCCCAATGGGTTGTGGGATTTAGTCAGTGTGAAATATTAAAAGCACCGGTTATTTAGAGGTAGTGACAAACATGTAGAACAGGAATTAAAAACAGCTAAGGTTGAAAATGTAGGTTCTCTTTCAAGTTTTCACTCTTACTTCTTCTCTCTGATGAAGAAGCGGACAGCATCCACCTCATCATGCTGAGATTAGAAGAGCTCATGCTTGCATTAGGTGGTTTCAGGCACTGCTGCAGAGCTGTGCTTCCAACTCACGGCCAGCTTACGTTTTGGACGTCTTTGGGCCTCTGTGCAGACTTCTGGTGTACATTCTCTTTCAGTGTGATCTTATGGTTGGGTGACCTCAACTATCGGCTGGATGAACTGGATGTGGCAAAAGTGAAGCAGCTGGTAGATGAGAAGGCATTTCTAGAGCTTTGCCAATATGACCAGGTACTGATGTCTCCCGCACGTGCAGGTGGTGCTGAGGGTGCTAGTTAGAAACTGCACGCGTACTCCTTAGCCTTCTCAGCGCTGAACATCTCCCTTTTACCTCACATGGGAATTGTGCTTGAGCGTATTTAAAATTAATTTTTTTGTCTTTTTCTTTTGTAGCTAAAGAGGCAAATGAATGCAAATGCAGTCTTTGAAGGCTTTACAGAGGGAGAGATTTCTTTCCAGCCAACATACAAATACGATGCTGGCTGTGACGACTGGGACACAAGGTATGGTGATTGTCTCCTGTGATGCTATCAATGGCTAATGTTATCAATGAAGGAAGTAAAAACAAAGCTAAAAAGAATTGCAGATCTAATGGCTGTAAGTAGGAACAGTTCTGAGATTATTGCTGTTCCTCTCCCTTGGCTCCAAAATCCATCTCTGGTTTACATCTATTTATGTTGCTTTTCTTCCGCCGCTATTTGTCAGATATTCCTAATCTTTTTCCCAGGAATAATCCACTGGGTTTCCTCTTAGAGGTGTACAGAATTAAGGAGTCATTTTAGTTAGTTTCATTCTTTTGGTTTGGTTTGGTTTGGGTTTTTTTCCCCAAGCAAAATTTTTAGCATATTTTATTTGCTGATATCTGCTATACCTACTCAGATCAGACCAGCTAGGGTTCGAAATGGTGCATTTGTGCTGTCTGTAGCTGAGTGCATTCTCCAAAAGACTGCAAGAACCATCATTCCTGTAACGCGCTACACAGAGTGGCTGACCTGTTCTTAGTAAACAGGGAACATTGGCTTCAAGTGCGGGAATGAAATCTGTGCAGCAGTCAGTGAAGAAAAAAAAAAAACCTTAAAATGTGAACTTTAAATGTAGAGCCTGAGGTCTTATTTTTCATGGTTCTTCTGGTCAAAAGTATCGTTGAGTGTTGCTTTATATGTTAATTGTATCAAAAGAACAAAACAAATAATTGCATCTTTGAAGAAGTAGAAAGTAAAGCATGATATAGAAATACCTAGTAGTAGACAATCAAGCTTTTTATAACTACTTAAAGAAACTGTGGAAAATACAACTTTGATAGGGAACTAGCTCCAGGCCATGTCAGGAAAACAGTCTCTGGGAGAGCAGTATTCTGCCTTGTGTTGTTACTCCACCTGAACTGTGCCTGGAAACTGTAATTTTTACCTCTGTTTTAGTGAGAAGTGTCGTGTTCCAGCATGGTGTGATCGGATACTCTGGAAAGGGCAGAACATCGCTCAGCTGAGCTATCGCAGCCATATGGCTTTGAAGATCAGCGATCATAAGCCAGTTAGCTCTGTGTTTGATATTGGGGTAAGTACGTCAGTGCTGAAGGAGATAACTCTGCTGACCTCGTCCTCTGTGTGGGGAGAGGGGGAAGGAGGGAGGGAGGTTCTCCTGCTGATTTCCCTCTCCTCCTGCTTTTATGGGGTCCACAGAGAACAATGGCTTAAAAGGTGGGCTAGACAAGATGCTGAGATAGGATTGTTGTTCATGGTAAGCTAGGGTTGTGTTAAGTGTTTCTTCAGTTAAGCAGAGTAATGCATGAATATCTGTAGGTGTTTTTTCAGAAGTGTCCTTTTGCCTTTTTTCTTATTTTCCTAATAATTTTCACAGAAACTTGCAGTTCAGGAATTCTACATGACTTACAACACAGTAGTGTGTTGTCAAACTTTTTTTTTTTTTTTTTAAGAAAACAAAGTTGATCTAGTACTGACTGGGTGACTCTCTTGCTAGTTACAGCAAGGTCCTTTACTGTTGGATCCTGAGGAGAGCATTAGTGCTCCAAGTGGCTCTGTTCATTACCTATGTTGTATATGCTGATGTGCTGCTAAAATCAAATCACTTCATGTGTTTCCAGCTGTGTTACAGCTCTCCTGCGGAGGCACAGTAAGTGCCAGTTAGTGCAGTGTGTGTCCTTTTCAGGTGAAGGTTGTGAATGAGGAGCTCTATCGAAAAGCCTTTGAGGAAATAGTGCGCTCCCTGGATAAACTGGAGAATGCCAACATTCCCTCGGTGACCCTCTCCCAGAGAGAGGTAGGGTATGTTCACGTGCTGTGACTTGCTGGAGAAACTGAGCAACCCTAGACCCCAGAATTGTATTCCAGTGGTAGAATATGGATTCTAGATCCTGGGGTCTGATTCCAAAGAAGTAGAACATTTTGACTTCCAACTGTTCTCTGTTTACAAGCCCTAGAAATATTTGTTTCTGTTTAGATGCAGGTAAATTCCATTCACAGTATCAGGCTGAAATATAGGGTGTGTTACTCCCTGAGGTAGGGAGAGAGAGAGTAAAAGGGTAGTTTGTGTCCCCTGCTCTGACTTGTGCTTTGAAACATAAAATGTAAAATCTGAAGGATTTGGAGAAGGTCACAAAACCAGCATTTGCTTTGTGTGTTGGGGACTAAAAAAGATAAGCAAATGAGACATTTGAGGCTACAGTTATCTTGTTCTCAAGTTTCATTGAGGTTATTTGAGGGGAGCATTTGTTTTAAAGGACCCACTGATGCAAATGCCTTTAGCATACAGAATAAGAAAATGTAATCCTTTGTAATCCTGGAAGAGATGGAATGTGGGAACAAGAGGGTTAATCTGGGTATCTTGCTGCTTAATGATTAAACTACAGGACAGGAATTGGCTGATGATGTTGATTGACATTTGTTTCTAGTTCCATTTTGAGGATGTTAAATACATGCAGCTGCAGGTAGAGAAATTTACAATCCGCAATGGACAAGTGCCCTGCCAGTTTGAATTTATCAGCAAACCAGATGAGGAAACCTACTGCAAGGAGTGGCTGATTGCTAATCCCAGCAAGGGCTTTCTGCTATCAGGTGAGCTCCTTGTTGTTCATCTCATGTTAATGAGCTAATATCGTTGCCTTCTGGCTTAGTTCTCTCTGCTATTTTGAGAATGCTATGCCTATTTGCAGGCTTATTGGTTTAATATCTTTTTTAACTGAGAATGGGTTTTTTATCATCTTCCGGCAGATGCTGAGATCACAGTTGAGTTGGAGGTGTTTGTTAATAAATCAACGGCTACACACTTAAACTCTGGAGAGGAAAAACTTGAAGATATCTTGGTCTTGCATCTTAACAGGGGGAAGGATTATTTTCTATCTGTAACAGGAAACTACTTGCCAAGTTGCTTCGGGTCTCCCATTCATACGCTGTGTTACATGAGGGAACCGATCCAGGACATGTCAGCAGAATCCATTCGGAAACTTGTGAGTTAAAGACAAGATTCCCTTCCGAACCCACAAGAACCATTAAAACTAGATGTTAAGTCCTGTTTATTGCTAAAGAGCCATCTCTCACTTCCCTGGTCCATAGTCTGAGAATGCTGATACAGCTTGTGCTCTCCAGTGCACCATCTTCACAGCTTGCATTAGTTCTTCACATGGATGAACCAACCCATTTCGTATAGAGAGCACTGAAAGCAAGATCCCATTTGCTCTGCCTGCACATTTAAAAAAGGTGTACAACTGCTAAACGTAGACGTTTTCCCTTGAGCCTTTGGCTTTCTCCGCATTGAATAGAGATGGGTGTGTATATGTGAGGCACTATGTAATGTTTCTGTAGAGCTGAGTGTACGTGAAGTGTGTTTATGAGAGCAGCTTGTTTCTTCTGTCTGGACTTTTGATATAAATGTGCCTGTTGTACTAGTGTTGTATGAATACTGGTGAGTGAAGCTGCACAGTTTCTTAACACGTCTTAATACTCAGGTATAAGTTCTGTGAAGCATTTTTGCAGAGTTGAATAAGAACTTGGCTAGCTACTCTTTTTTTTTTTTTTTTTTTTTTTTTTTCCCCCTCCCCTCACCTCTCAGACCCTGATGCCACTAGAAATGAGTGATGATGCTGCTCAAGCTGAAAAGCCTATGGACATTCCAAAAGAGCTGTGGATGATGGTGGATCACCTATACCGCAGTGCTTCCCAGCAGGTTGGCAGTGTTTGTATTGGAAACACAAAATAATTTGTTTGCGTTAAGTTTCATTTTGAAGAAGATACTGGTAATAGCAATCATTGCTAACTGTGGATGTTTGGCCAATAGTAAAGAGAGATAAAGGATGTCTCTGATAAGTGATCCTGGTGCCCTGGGTTGCACTGTTTCATGATGGTGACCTTGTCTGTGTATGGCATGCATCAGCAGCTGTCCTGCTGCACTGCTCTCTACTGCAGTGCCACAACCTTACTAGAACTGCTCATGGTGGGTTTTGTGCTGATAACTACCAATTTGGAGAGATTTTTCCAGACAGATTGTAACAACATTGCTCTACCCAAATAACTTTTATTTTCCTTTAGACTGACTAATGGTCGTCTTTGCAGGAGGACCTGTTTCAGCAGCCAGGCCTCAGATCAGAATTTGAGCAAATCCGAGATTGTTTGGACAAAGGGATGCATGATACCCTCCGTATCCTTTTAGACTGATGTCCAGTAAGGCTCACTATGCCTTAGTGATCAAAGCTGAAAAAGATTTTATCAGTCTTCTGTGCTCTACCATGGTTTTTAAATTACCATCTCTCATCTCGGGGTAACTGAGATCTGCAGTTCCTCACTACTCCTTGTAATCAGCATGAATGCCTCTGCTAAGTCCTTGCGATGTTGATGAACGATTGTTGATGAATTACGTAAGTGTCCAACTGCCAACGGAAACAGCTTGCTACGTGGAGTCAAGCGATACAACTCAAAGCTGTGAACAATGGGAGGGCTTCTTGGAGACCTAAGCAAAGATGCACGTTTCAGCAGAAATACGACCAAAATAGATCACGCTGTGCTTGCTTCTTCCTTAACCATCTTTGGATCAGTTGGCAGCAACCACTCGGTAGCAGAAGCCTTGCTGCTCTTCCTGGAAAGCCTGCCGGAGCCTGTCATCTGCTACAGGTTCTACAGCAGCTGTTTGGAGTGTGCCAGCAACTACCTGCTGAGCAGCCAGGTATTGCCAGCTTCACTGTGAGACTGTTTCTGTAATTCCGGAGGGAGGGGAGGCAAACTGTTTTATGCCAGACCAGTAACAGATTTTTGCTCTCAGAAACATAATCATCTGATAATAGAAAGGATCTAGAATTGGTGCTTTGTGGTTATTAAGAGTTGTTAGTTGTTAGTATTTGCAGACAGGGTGATGTTGGTAGTAGATAAAGCTGCTAAGCTATTGCTGTATCTTCAATATAAATGTTGGTTTCTTTTCCCCCTCTTCAGATCATCTCTAACCTGCCAGGGTGCCATAAAAATGTGTTTGAATATCTAATGGCATTTCTACGAGAACTACTGAAAAATTCAGGGAAAAACCATTTGGATGTGAATATTCTTGGTAAGGCGAGCAAAATAACCGTTCTGTTCAGGGGGGCTTTGCAGTTTGTATAACAGAACACATTTCTCCAGAGTGAGTGCAGTCATGGCCTGTACTGTTTTGAATCACTTAGTAATGAGCGAACAGTCCATAGAAAAACAGTCATTGGAGTAGCCTGAAAAAAGTTGTAAAGTGACTCAGAGATGCATGGGTCATCAGCTTTATCTTATCCCTTTCTGAAGCCAGGCACTCTCTCACTTTGATTAGGGTTGGTGGAATGAATTACCTTGATATCCTGCTGCTGACAGGCTCTTATTGTGTGTCTCTGTGGCTTTTTTTTTCTTTTTTTTTTTTTTTTTTTTTTTTTTTAAATGCAGCTAGTATATTTGGTGGCTTGTTACTTCGACCTCCTCCTGGACATCCTACACCTGATATAACTGAAAAGAGGAAAGCTCAGCAATTTATCCATCAGTTCCTCTTGAGAGAAGACAATTTACCGTGAATTTCAGATGCAGCTAATCTGATTTTTAGTTATCAAATTACTGTAAAAAATATGGGGGTTTTTGTACAGTATACTGGCTTTTTTTAAATATCACTATTTTATACAATCTGTTGCTTTTGAAGGTGCACATCAGGCAGTTTGAATCAGGTATCACTGTTTAAGCTGTAAAGTATATCAAAGTTCTAAAAAAGTTGTATGTAGACAGGCAAAAATATAAAAGCTGATATTTACACTGTATTTTATTTAACTTGTATTAAAACTCAGAATTTTTAAGTCCTTGTTATTTAAATAAAAAGATCTCGGTGCATTTTTCCAGCCTGTCTGCCCATTTTTGACGTTGGCTGCTTTAGGCTCTTGGTTTGTTGACAGTGAACTAAGTCGCGTTGTAAAAGGCCTGCTGTGGTTTAACAGTACCGTGTCTTTGGGTGGCAATATGGATGCGTTACGTGAATCCTTGCGGTCTTCCACTCCCCACTCGTGTAACTCTTTAAGACCACGCAGCGAGGTGGGCCTGTGATCCAATGGACGTAAGGGACTGGTCTGCAAGAAAAGGGGTTTATTTTAAAAACGCATGCCGGCCGGGGTGTACGGTGGCACGTCTGGTGCTGCGGGCGGTGGGAAGGGTGTGCGGGAGGCGTGGGTGCTGCTGTGAGGAGCTGAGGCCGCCACCCCGG